CGCATTTTGTCAATGGTCCCGTTATTGCGCTGGTTGTCAAACAACAGCCAGCACTTCGCCGAAATAATACAGCGCACTGCTGGTTTCGAATTTCGACAAACACACAAGGCAGCGGAAAACTGTGTCCTTGGCCGTTGTCGTCATCGTCGTCGTCGTCATTAGAACGTTATAGTGTGTTTCACATACGACACGCTTTTGGACGAACACGTTTCAATCGACAGGACCCGACACCGTTACAATAATAAAACTAGGGGAGGTGAGGGTAAAATGGGCAGTAAGAAATTGACTTGGCTCAAACCATTTGAAGATTGTGTATGGAAATTATAATGAAAAAACAAATTTTTTGATCATTGCCTTCTAGCCTTTTTCCATACAGCCAAACGGCAAATTAAATAGTTATCAATTGTTTAAAAGATTGATAATCTTATGGCATGATCAAGCAGCTGTTTTGTGGGCAACACTGTATTCTGCAGTGTGACATAGTAGCCATGATTTGTGTGCTCTATTCTACACATCAGTAACCCCATTGCCACCAAATGCCATTAAATGCAAAAAATGTAATGCCTTCCTAAAATCGCATTCTGATGTTATTTTTACTATGTCTAACGGCTTAAAATGTTAAGAATTAAGCAGTTCAACGTAAAATGACGAGCCAATCTGATGTGATGTTCGCCAATGTACATGAAACTGTGCATAATTGCTTGTTATTATTATTAGCAAGGGGTTGGTCACTCCGCACAGTTCGCCAAAATCAGGTTTGGGCACACATGGGCACACTAATTGACACAGTTTGGCACCCATGGTAAGAAACATTCATGATCTTTGAAGTTACTGGCAACACTACACTTACTCTGCACCTGCTCGGCGCATGTGTCGAATTATTATTGTTGACAAATCAATGTTATTGGACCCGGCCTATGTGTGTTGAATGGGTGCGATATCCTACGCAGATGTGGAAGCTGCCGTCAATGGATGGCAATCGATGTTCGTCGGTGTGATTGCCACAAGATAGCGGAACAGAGACCGACGTTAAATAAAGGAACGAAGATGCAGAAGATGTTATTGGACGCAACCTAATATTTTCGCTTAGTTCCCCCAAACCGAGTTGGATTCCCTACAAAAATCACTAAGTGTGCACATCCTAATGCCTGTCCAAACAGTATTTTTTTCACGCTATGCAAATTAAAATCAGGGTGATCGCCAAGGAGCAACCCACTCTAAACTTTAGTTCCAAGAGACAGTAGATATTTTCCAATCGCTCATAAGTATTCTTAGGTATTTTTAAGTATTTTAAATCTAGCCTTATGTTCATCATAGTGAGCGGTTGCTAGTGCAGTTGTTTGTTGTTGTTTCTCACAGAAATGTAGTGCTAGAAGCAGTTCCGTGATGTGTACGTAAGTTCTAAGCTACACTGCGTTAAATTGAATGTTCTATCTGCATGATTGCAGCTCCAACGTTTCTTTGGACACCGCCATTGCCGAGTTGCTGCAGGAGGAAGCTCATTTCTATGTCCTCGTGAAGAACTAACAAGGAACCATCACGTCTTCATACGTTGTCCTGGATCATATTGCACTGGGTTTTAGTCAGAAGGATACAACCTGTGACACCAGCAAGAAAGGGTTTTGGACATTTTGGTTACATGGATTTGACAGACGATTAAAAAATTATCTCGAATGAAGGGAACCGAAAGTTGTGACAGACGATTCATTGATGAAGAAATTGAATTCGATTTAGCTGCTAGATTTGTTTCGGAACATTTCACTGCTGTCCCACTTTTTTCATAGCAAAGAAGTCAATATGATATCAGAAATGCATAAAATCAATCATTTAGTATTTTGTAAAACCACCGTTAGCATCTAGAACTGCTCGCAAGCGTCGAGGCATTGATTCCACAAATTGTTTGGTCACAGTTGATTGATTTTTCTCCTATATCTCCTGAATAGCCTTTTTGAGCTCCGCTTTGTCCCACCACAAATGCTCTATGGAATTCAAATCAGGTGATTGAGGATGTGTTTTGAGCTGTTTTGAAACATTATAAAGCAACCATTCACCCCAAGTAACCAACAAGCCCATATCCTTCGCCAAGAATGGAAGATGTTCCTGCAACCACTTCTGAGTGCGGTTCGAGGTGTGGCACGGAGCCCCGTCTTGTTGAAATACAACATTTGGCTTCGGACCGTACTGTTCTTTGATCCACGGAAGAACATACTTACTTAAAATCCCGATGTAGACCTCTGTGTTGACGTCCATTTTTTGCCATCAGAAGCCTAAGCCACCAATCCAAACACCATAACGCTAGCAGGATGCTTGGTCAGATACACGTTCTTGTGCTCGTCGGCCACGTCTTTTACCGGAAGAGAACTAATATACCGGTCGGTTCTGGAATTTGATACGGGATCGACGGGATCTCGTCGGTGAACAGGATTACCGGATTTTTTCGCTTAAGGAAATTCAAGATTTTCTTGCATCGTTCGACTCGTAGCTCCCGGATGCGGTTGGTAATCATGTGAGTTTTTTCCCGTGCCCTTGACTTCGCCCCGCAATCTTCCTTTACGATCTTTCGTGCCGTAAAGTCACTGATCCCGTGTTCCTTTGCCATTTTCCTTATTGAACGCACTGGATTCACCCGAATCTTCCTTTTGATAGCAGCGATAACCCTCGGAACCCGAGCTGTCCTCGGACGACCTGTGGCCACCTTCGCGGATAGTTGTCCTTTCTTTTCTCGGACTAAAACCCTTTTGACGGTCCACCGGGACACTCCCACGGCGATTGAAATGTCTTTTTGCGACATTTAAACTTGGGACAAATCACGAATACGCTTCCACTTCGTCATGGTGCAACTGTCAAACTAAGTAAATCATTTTTTTTATACACAGCCTACTACGGTATGAGCTATAGGTTACGTGCATGCAAAGAAAACCAAGACATACCTACATGGACCGAAGAGAGTACCAGAGCTGAGCCAAAAAGTTGAGCACGTTTCTTCGGAACCTTCTGGTCTTAGAGTTACCTATATGGTACGGTTCAGCATGCTATCTACGAAGCCGTTGAGTCTACCTATGGTGCAGACTGGTTGGATCTCGAGATCATGAAAATCAAAAATAAATCTGGGTTACGTCAGTGTATGCACGTTCGCAGTACGTATCCTTGTTGGGACTCAAATCAAAATTAAGCCGCCTGCGGAGGAAATTTTGAAGAAGTCTTGGAATTGAGAAGGAATAAATCCGACAAACTTTGACTACGCTGTGGCTGCGTAATGCTATGAAAATTAGAAGCTGGTCAAACTGAGATGTACGGACCGATCTGTTATCGATTGAGGATGGAATCATTTTGTAAAATACCCGTTGGTTTCCTTTGATAATGAATATGGAAGCTCACACAAGTCCGGGATGGAAATTTTCACATTTTCCCTGAGTTTTCCCTCGGATATTCTTGTCATCGGTCTCAATTGATATGGACTTCGATGGGACTTTTTAAAAATGACGTATAATTAAGAAAGAAGTCCCAGAACTGCTGGGGGATGTCAATACCGAAATATTACCCCACATATTCCAACAGATCTGGATCGGTGTACGATTGCCTTAGTGCTATAGTATAGGATTTATAGGAAACCAATCCATTACAATTAAAAATGCAATTACATTCTACTTCACGAGTCCGACATCAAGCTTATCCCCGTCATCACAGCCGGTGATTTTGCAGATGCATCTCTGTAATCATCCTTCTATTGAACTAGGCAGCTCGTATCAAGGGACCTCAGTGCGTACCAATCGGTCAACTGTAAGGCCGATGCCATAGTGTTTCCGTTATTGATATATTATTCCTTACATAATTTACGACTCACTCTGAAATCGACCGTATGCTTTACTAATTACTAACTATTGATTTAAGGCTTTATTAAAAACTGATGATGTTTCTGCTAGGGTGGGATTGAACTCTTGCCTGTCCGAGTTCTGGATTACTTTAGTCGGAAAGAAATTTGACAGGCAGCAGGTGGCAATTTAATCCATCGTCGATCGATTACGTCTTCGTTTCTGTACATCTGCAAGGGATCAGCAGTTTAAAGGGACTGAAATCTGTTGGACGGGTTGAACACCGTACAGGTTAGATGGCTTCCACTTCCTCTTCCATATCACTCTCGGGGTTGCCAAACTCATGGAATATTTGACACCTTGATATGCACACTTCGATCGAAACGTTGATAAGCACGTTCAGCACAGCGTTTGGCACAATTTTCGGCCCAGCTCAATACTCGGCATGGATTGAGGTGTGCAGAGTTGAATGCCCCTTGAGTTTCGCCGACTTTCGCTCCACGGGCACTTGATCATTCCGGTGGCACTGACAGTGACGGTCGCTGAAAGGCAACATAGGTGAACACTACCGTCGGTGACACCACTGACGAAGTCAACCTTTAGCAGCGGAACACTTTCATCGCATTCTTCAAAAGATACAAGACCTTGGCCTCCTCAAATCGCGTATCCATGTTGTGCCGATTCGATGCCAGTGAACCTTCTGATCTCCGCAGCCGATTTCGATACCCGAACGATTTCCAGCGATTTCATCATTAGCAGCAGCTTTCCCCGGCGGCTGTAAATTCCGAATGCCACCAGATGCGTTTCGAAGCTGTCTTGGCTTTGGAACTCCATCACCTTTTCGAGGGGATTCTCCAATTGGGTTACTTTGTCCAGCTTCTGGATCATCGCCTTGGTTCGGATTCCACTGCTTGTTGTATTGTTTCTTTAAAACAATACATTTGAACTGTCAAATTAAACGGGTTGCCAAACATGCAATTATTCACAAGCAAACAAAAGTCAGTTCGACAACTGGCACAGCTACGGCACGCATAAAACACACTGAGAAAAATTTGGTACAAAATAAGAGCGTACACGCTATTTCGAGGCTACTCAGTGACTGGATAGATCGCAAAAAATGAGTGAACTGGTTTTGATTCGATGAGTGGAATCTACGCAGATTCTGGGTAAATGGTTCTGATATAAATCATTTCGGTTAGTAATACCGGCAAGAAACGAAGACGAGGCAAAGGATCCGGACGTATTGCTCCCAAGGATTTGAACAAAGGACAGGTGATTGGTTTCGGTAAGGCCAACATTGTATGGCCAGGACTGTCAGCAGCGATTATTCGAGATCGAGAGCTTGTCCAACAGCAGCAGCTTCCGGAAGATAAGGAGCGGGAAGCCAAGCTCAAGAAGATTCGCGATGAGATGGTGAACTTCAAACGGATAAAGCTCAGTCCCCTTGAGCGAGGTTGGTCTGGATATAAAATGCCTAGCCGTAGTATAAGACCGCCGTATGCAGTTGGAGAGGACCAATTTGAAGGATTCGACACCCATTGTTTGGAACTGAAGACCGTTGTCAATATGAAGGGCAATCTTAGTCGTAAGATACGCGTTTCAGCAATGACAGTGACAGGAAACGACGACGGTTTGGCAGGATTCGGATTCATCAAGACCAGTGTTCGGAAAATCATTCTCAAATCTCATTAATTGAGCCTCCCTGCGAGAATAAACTCACGTGCGAATGCGGCAAACAAAATTCACGCTTGAGATTCTCATGCATATTCACGCACTCACACTCACAACGTCGATATTAAGGCAGCGTTGCGACAGGCAAAAAATCGCGCCGGTCAGAAATTAATGTTTTTCGAGCTGTGCAATGGTCATACTGTTTTCCACGACTTCTATAGTGCTTTTGGTACGACAGATATTTTCGTCGAGCGTAAACCGGACGGCTACGGCTTGAAATGTCATCGAGCCATCAAGGCCGTTTGCGAACCTAACTGAGTGATTTTCGACTCAAAAATGAGTAGCATCGACCACTCCTTACTTCCAATCGAAATGAAGTCTGAGACAAAGTTAAAAAAAACCTACAAGGGACATTGTACCATAGAGGTAACTCTAAGACCAGTAGGTCCCGAAGAAAAGTGGTCAACTTTTTGGCTCAGCTCTGGTATTGTCTTCGGTTCCAAGCAAATCCATGCACCCCTAGAAACATAGGAAAATCCACGAACTCCTCATTTTATCTGTCAAACTTTCATGACAAATCAAAACAAACATTGTGTAGTGCTAGAATTTCGACTAGAATGGGGTACGTTAATCGATTTGCTTGGGACCAATAGGCTAGTCAAGTAGTGAGCCAATTTAAAATCCATAGTTTCGTATTGATTGTTGGTTGTACGCGTTGGTGACGTAGGACTACGTGGTCTCATATAATAAATGTTATTTGTTAACTCCAGCAGGAGCTGACATTGCATACAATTTGAGCTTGATATTCATGCCCCACCCATTTTGGGTATTTTATCATACACTTCATCCGCTGTGTCTTTCTACACAGTGTTTCTCGTTAAACTCCTTCTCCACAGGTAGTTGAGAGAAGTAAGTTGGTAAATCTTAGCCTATAGCAGAAAGACGCTTAACACTTTTTTTCGGCGAATTTATGATCCTGTTTCACGTCATGGTTCTTCTCTATGCCTGTTCAGATAAATTAGTACTTTTATTTATTTTCTCTACTCCGCAAAATCAAACAAGTAGAAATAAGAAGGAATGTCGGCTTCGCACTCGAATAATTGAAAATTCGATAAATATTTAATCGAATAGTTGGAAAAAAATCTTTACGATTAATCGTTAATCGAATAACTGAACTTTATGGTATCCCTAGAAAATAGTGTAATTTCATGTTTTTTGGTGGTCCATCAAAAATGTCGAACAGCAGAATCAATCATGTTACCATGCTTCTGCGTTAATTTTCCACCAGATGTCACTGCTGTTCTTAAAGGTGACATCTATCAAAAATTACGTATACACTTAGTTCCGTTAATTGTTAACAGAGGGAAGTAAAGTCTACAGATATATGGTACCTCTGTACATGCATTCAGGATAACAGGATATCCCGCCGATTTTTATCCATACGCGGCGGGGCAGATAATATATTTTATGGAGAATATGTAAAAAAGGAGGAGCTACCGATGTTAATCAAAATGCATATATAGAGGTACCAGACATGCTATGCTCTTCTATCATCCAGAACAACAAACGTATCAATGAATGTGTTTGCCGTCGAGTTATTAACGAAACAGAAAGTCGATGAAGAGAATCGATCAAAATCACTTGCACCCCTGCTGCCAAGTTTGGTTACAAGATTAAAACTCTGGAGAGCATTTTGTGTGGTCGTTAGGGGCGTGTGGTTCTGAATATGGTGATGAGTGTGCAAAATGTTACGCAATTGCATCCTCCCTATTCGTACACGCCCGAAGATCGCCATTGCCATTACATTTGTTGTATGAAACATATGCAGAAGATGCTTCGTGCTTCGGATGGAACCTTCAATTTCTTTAGCTGAGGCCTTTTGCAAATGTAAATGCGTGTATTTAAAACATGCTTTCCAGCTCCTAAGACATCACTCTAAGCTGCTTTACTGAAAAAAAAAATGATCGAAAATGCTTTACCATCCTTACGATTGAATGTTACCCCCAGCACCAAAATAAAACTCAACAAGAATGCGGTTTTGGTTGAAAATTTAATTAATTTTAATTTTAAATGGCATGTAAAAACCACAGATGTAAAATTCAATTAAATACCTTAACGTAAAATTAAAGTTACAGAATACACTCATTTACATCATAAACAACATCAATCTCCTCAAGAAGCCCATTTTACCCCCATCGCCCCTACGACCATACAAGTTGAAGATTAACAACAGCAGGGGCAATCATAGCGGAAACACGTAACTAGCAATAATATGCTGTATGGCAGCAATGGGGAAGTAAGCAGGAAATATTTCTTTAATGAAAATTGCCCTAACTTGAGCGGCGGTGGCAGTGAGGGAACTTTTGGGAATTTCTGTTTCGAAAGATAGCAGTTTCGCTCGATGAAAGTTTTGTCCATCCGTCGCCGTCTGGTGCTACAGAGCGCTGTTGGTTTCCGTCAGTTACCACGCTGTGGAATGGCACGCTTGAGAGTGCTGCTAACTGGCATCAGTTCAGTCAGGGATGCAGCAGCAAATGCTGCACTATGCATATGCTAGAGTGCACATTTGAGTTATCCACTTCGTCAAGTATAGCTCGGAAGTATGGACGGAACAAAGGAATTGTTTCTGGCTGAAAGGAAACACACGGTGCACACACACACACACGTGCGTGAATATTCGTTTTGTGTGTGCTGGTGTGTAGTTTAGAATTCAGTCCATTGCAGTTCTTTAATGCACAGAAGATTTAAAGCATGGTCCCCTTAGAATCGAAACGCAAAAAATCAGCTCTATCTCGGGATTGGTTTAACGTAAGAACAATGTTAAATCGGGCTTAGATCTTATGTTGGGCCTACTAAGCACAACCCGCTCTTTGCCTACAGATGGTTTTTGTCTTTTCCAATCTATAGATATCAGGAAGCTCAACCACAAGTCCTTCCTTTTTTCGTTTGTAATACATAAGAAGTCATGAAACATTGTATATTACATATTTGGATGTAAGGAAGAAGGTCGTGTTGTTAAACGACGGGATCTAAATGTTTAACGATACTTTTGTAGACGTTATGCTACTGATTATCTGATTATCATATGTCATATTACTATATATCAAAAAATTAGGGGTGAGGAGGGACCATCACCATCAGGCACCCAATTGAAGTGAAAATGTCAACTCCCTTTGCTAACATTTCGTGGATAAAGGGATAGCTCTTCCCCCATTCATTGGGGCATCTTCCTGTTGGATGGTTCGTTTTCTGACCAATTGGCTGATCAAGCTGATCTTAACTGTCCCAAGGAAATGAATAAGCGAAATACCAATCAATCTTTCCATTCGTTTTTGGTTCTTCATACAGTGATTTACTGATGACAATCAGAGGCTATTAAGCTTGATCAAGTTCAACCGTGAGAAGAGCCCACAGCTATTGAGTGGTAGATCACTATCATCATCATCATCAAGCACAACCCGCACTTTGCCTCTCTTTTTCGAGCCAATTTTGTTACACAAAATGGATTTTTTTTTTTTACTACACATGTCTTTCCAATTTATTTACCTTCCCATAAATACCGTTGGATTTGATAAAGAGTCACAAATTGTCGAGATATTGTCAAAAATCTAATCCTCTAAAAATCCAAGACTCTAAATTCCGCATACGAATTCTGATTCCGTCCTAACGCATTGAAACTCAATTGAATTCACTTTCGCCTACGGATGAAGTTAAAACTGGAATGGAAAAATGGATTCGGTCGGAGCGCTTCTTTTGTTTTTGATGAAAATACACGCTAATCGCCCTAAGGTTAATATAGGGTTTCCAAACTTTATATGAGTCGTGTATCAGCTTTATATCGCAAAAAGGGCGATTAACGGGTTTGATGTTTACTTGGAATGGGTGTAAACATTCATATAGATTTTGTGTGTGTCGTGAATCGACGCAATTCTCAAAAGCCGGTTACACCACACACTACATAGACAATAAACTGACGAAACTGTAAGAAACTGTAACAACACCTTCAGCAAGGGTAATGTTTCTCCAATTAGACGGTTTTGTTAGTTTGCGTGGGAGTGCTTACAGTTTCGACAAATTGACGTTTGAATCTTTGTTTACAAAATCAAATACGTCCCTTTGAAAAAGAAACCGAGAAGCAGTGCATGTACACAATAATCTCGTAGCTCCACATTCCAATAATTATCGAAATACAAAACAATCACACCCATCAATTGGCTTCTAGAGAGTCACGCATAGATTTGATTTGTTTATCAATTTTAAATCCATCGCAGCAGTCTGAAAGTGACTGAGATTTGTCTTCACAGGACCCAGGACTTGATAAACGGTGGAATGCATTTTTTTTTTCTTTGAGTCCATTGTCTTCCTTGTGGTGTAACAACAGCTTCCAGGTGAATTTGTCGGCGAAAACGAACCTAAACTTGCCAGGCACATTGCTGTGAACATTTTCATCTTGTCCAGCTGATCACGTCAGATTTTCGTCAGATCTTCCATCTGGCATAGATTTCTAAAATCAACTCGAATCGTGAATTAAACTGCTCTAAAAGTCTGATCCAATGTTACGGGAGTTGACCTTAAGATCGCTGAAACTACCCAAAGATTTCTAGATCTAGCTTTTTTGAGCTACTTAGAACTTATTTGAACTTTCCACAATTTTCCTTAAGTTCTCTATATTTCTAAAGCTCTCTGGATACCGGTGAAGTTCTTAGAAATTCTAAGAGCTTCTTAAAAGTCCTGCAGGTTTTTGGAAGCTAATTGAGCCGCTTTGATGTTGGAAAGCTTCCAGTAATTTCTCATTTTTTTTTTAGGATATTAACTTCACCCGGACCATGTTGGATTTTCACCGATTTGTGCTAACAAAATTGTCATAACCTTTTAAAATCAAAACGAATTACTTTCGTTTGCATTTTTTTTTTTGAATCGTGTAACGCCAACATTCATTATAATATTTAACAGTCCGAACACGATGCCTCCGGTAAAATGTGAAACGCAAAACTTTCAATGTTTAAAGAATCATAGCTCAACCATTAATTGACGAATTTCAAATTTATTGAATCCATTTGCAACTACAAACTTCAAAGGTTTAATCGATATCAATAGATTTAAAATCGATCCATAAATTGCTGAGCATGATTTTTCAAACATTGCCAATTTACCATTACCCATTTTACCGGAGGCAATCGTGTTCGGAGTGTTAATAGGGTTCGAAGTCTGAAATTTCGCACTAGAAACATTTTTAAGAGTCAGGAAAATCCAAAATAGTCCAAAATCATCAATTTTTTTTTTTTTCTTTGGTTTGTTTTTTTCCGTTGATCTTGTTT